CTGCCTTTACCCTGGCTCATACATCGATGGCTGGGGAAGGTCACCCTCTCCCCATGGGTCTGAAGCTGTTCAGTAGCTGTGTCTGTATTATTGTAACAAGAAGTACAAAGGCACAGGGTCTGTTTAGGGAAAAGGACGGTGTTCTTGTCACTGCTTTTTCTGTTTCTTCCTGCCATGTCATCTCCTTTGCTCTGCCTTTTTAGAGCAAATCCACACATTAGATGAAGACTCCAACACTAGAAATCACAAATCAAGCACTCAAACTAAGAAAAACAACCCAAGCCCAAGCTAAACTGTTCCCCTTACAGCATTTTCTTGCTTTAAGCACCTCAACACACACACACAGTGCCACATCACTCATGAAAAACTCCCTATCTTACCCCTCCAGCACTGAACACCCAACAGAAGATACTGGAGCCAACTTTTCCAAATGTAAACTGGGCTCCTTTAAGTCTGAGGATAAAGAAAACCAGCCCCGCATTGGAAGTCACAGCCATGAAACTGCTACAAGCCAAAGCCTCACACTGAATAGAACTAAAAATGTGAGTTTAGTTTTACCAGCCCATGAATGAAATCTTCCTTTTTTCCCAGCTAATTTCAGTGTTCCTGTTTCATAGCAGTATCCCAATTCCCACACAGCAGTCAGTTGTACAGAGCTGGGCTGCTGCTGCCTTCATCTCCTGATTAAATGCAACGATGGCAGCTCAATTTGATAATAATTCCTCACGGTAGTTCCATCTGTTCAGTTTTGATTCACTTCCTAATGAACACTACCATCTTGAACTCCAAGCTGGAGGTCAGATTTTCTTCTTTTTTTTTTTTTTTTTTTTTTCCAGGATTGCATGCCTTTAATCACCGTGCTGGAATTCCAGCAACAAATGCGAGATGCCGAATGTGTAGCCTGGCACGGCCCCAAGATCCAAGCAGCGATTTGCATGATGAGTTCCTCATTAGCTATTAGCAGGAGGTTGTTTTTTATAAAAATAGGAGCAGGGAGACATAACAACGACCTCTGCACACACCAGCACTATGCAAACAAGTGTTTCATGTTCCTTTCAGATCCGGCAGAAATGATGCAAGGCAGAAACGCACAGGCCCTTATTCCCTTCTAATTCCTCAAGTGAAACTCAGGACAGCTTGACCAAACTCAAAGGAGCACCAGCAAGGGACAACAGGGGAAACAGTAAAAGCCAAGTACAGAGAGCGTTCATTAACTTATTAATGTGTAAAATCCATCTTTCAATCATTTATGTTGGTGGTCAGAATTCACACCATTCTGGCCTCACCAGACCCCAAAAAGTAGATTTTTCTATCAACTGGAGAGAAGAGGTATTTCTCTACTGCTGTGGGTCTTAAATCATCTGAATTGCTGAAAAAGTAACTTGCATCTAATATTAACACTGCTCCAAAGAAGCTGTTAAAGTCAGAAGATCTCAAGATTCATAATTTACATCATTTTGCAGATTTACCCATTCCACAATACAAAAGAAGAGCTTTTCCCTCTGGAAAATAAAACACTCACTTAAAACCTTTCTCAAGTTTTGCACTTGGTGCAAAAGACTTGGAATTTTCAGAAATTCTAAGTTTGGTAAAGTTTTGTCCCTCACATCCTTTTTTTTTCCTTACTCCCATTTAACAAAGAAGCAGCATTTCTGTTTTGAGTCTACTTACAGGTTAAGAGCAAATAAAATTACAGAATAAATTTCAGGCTCTTCAGAGAAATATGACAATGTTGTAAGCCTGAAAGCTTGGAATTTATCCCGGGTGGTCCATGCTCAGAAATCTGTGGGTTTGACATTCCAAAGAAGTTTGAGACCTTCAGATGGGAACTTGTCAGCTACAAGTAGCCTCAGATGTAGTAGCATCAAGCCAGTTGTTTTCTGTGACCATGAAGGAAACAAGGCAAGTGGACTGATTTTTCTGTGACCTCCCCACTTCCAGAATCCCTGACACTTCAGTTCTGACAGTTAAATATTTTTCCAAGTTTTACCTGATATAAATAGGCACTCTTTTCCTTAAGGCTGCTAAACTACAGCAGTTACTTCTCTAAGTTATTTTTACATCTAACGTACTTAATTACATTTAATCACTTTGAACTTCTGAATTCTGGTCCAACAATGGTTCCAAGTCCCCAAGTCACTGTCTACCTTGGTAAAGACCTGCTATCCCATCACTGATCCCATCAAAGTTTCCAAGTGCCACAGCCCTGTCCAGCTCTGCCAGTGACCCAAACCATGTCATTGCAGGGTCACCACGTGCAGTAGTATTTTAGCTTAACCCAGCATCCCCCAGTACCTGGCAATTTGGGAAGACTGGAGTTTTCCTCATTTTCCAAGTAGTCCTGGAGCTGACACTGACCAACAGTACTGCAGGACATAAATGTAATCATATTTAATCACTTAGAATGCCCAGCTCAGCACTAAAAACACCTCACCCCTGCTAGTTTTGAAGGTGGCATTTGTAACATCCCCGCCCTCCTCTTCCAACCTCACTCCCCTGGCAGAACTCACAGCAAAAGCCTCGTGACCTCAGTTTGACCTGCCGAGATTCCACGTTTTTTGGAGTGCACTGAATTCCCGTACCAAGTCTGGGTTGAGGCTGTGTCAGCCTAAGCCCTGCATTCCCCACAGCAGCACACGTGCTCCCAGGACAATTCCTTCCTTGTTTGGGCAAATGTTTCTGTGTGCTCTCGCCATGAATCCCAGCTCATCTCCTGCTTCTCTCCTTAGTTAAACTAACAGCAACTCCAGATAAAACAAATTTAAAAGCCACCATACATCGTCTGCATTACAAAGGTACTGCAGCCTTCCCTTTTTTTTCCACAGCTGCCATGATTTCTAGAAGCCAGCAATGTACAGCACTGTTTCAGTCTCACACAGAGCAGGGGCAGTATCCCTTTAGCAGTCAGCAGCACGGTAACACGTATTCAGAACTACACCCCAAAACCTGCAGAGTTCATGAGCTACTTCTCTTGCCATCCTGACTTCTAGAGGGCCAGATTTACAGTATTCCCACAGTATTCAAATTTTCCAAGTGCAGATCTCCGCAGGAACTCTGTTATTCCACACATTTCATTCTTTGGGAGCACACTCAGCAGTCTGAGAGCTTCCGATTTAAGCTCACCTGCATATTTATGCTTAAGCATCACTTTTTTTAAATCCACCAAAAAGGGCAGGTCTTTTTCCACAGTGGATATTAAAGCCTTGGAAATAAGCCAAGAGAACAGAGAAGAGGGCAAGAAACCCATGCAGATGATATCACAAGGTTTGCTTCTCTACACTAACAGGTAACTTACCTTCACACTGCTCCTTTTGGGTCACAAACAGCACAGATCTACTGTAATGCCTCATAATATCCCTTATGTATGTAATTCCTTAGTAATAAAGACACTCCTGGCTTACACACAGGCACAAAACGTGATTTTCAGGGTGAAACAGCCTTCCTGTAAACCAGTGTCCTACCTGTTGCTAAAATCACCCCCTACTCATCCACTTGGGATGCACCAAGAAGAGCCAGGTCCCGAAGCACATCCCTGTGGCTTCATGTTTCCTGCTCGTCCTCAGCACAGATTCCAAGCGGGACAAAGGTGGCAGGAGCAGGGAGGTACACGCAGAGGATGCTTGTACGTGAGCTAATGAAGGGAGACAGGCTGCAGATGAGGAGCTTATGCAACATGATTAATTTTCTTTTCACTAGAAAAAACATCCAGATAAAACTTGTCAGAAGTAATCAAGCCTTCTGTGCAGGCTGATTAAGTCACTACCCCTGGTCATGGACTAGACTTGCCAGCACACAACCATTAGTTACCAGTTCAATCGATTATTTAAGGCACAGGGTGGAGGGGAAAAACCCCACAAATCTGAAACAGTTAAAAAAAAAACCTCAACCTGTTTCTTCTTGATTACCTACCCTCACCTATCTTCTCAAACTGGTGTTCCAGGCCAGAAATTCCTAGACATCAGTATTAGGAAGCTAAAAAAGCTTTACCCTCCAACTTAAACTTGTGCAGAACCAAGGAAGGAGGAGGGAAAATGTGTTCAGATGTGTACTCAAGTGCACTGGCATTGCTTTTTCCACATACAACCTAGCAAGTCTACTGAGTCAGTGTGAAACCTTCCTCTACACCCCTAAAGAGAATTTTTTGATCAAACTCTGAGCAAAGCACCCCACATAATCCATAATCTATCACTGTGGCCTAATAGGAACATTCCAAGTTCCCTGACTGACAGCAGCCAAATGCTTCAGATGAGACCTACAATAATTTCCAGGCAGACATATCTGAGCAACCTCTTGGAAAAACAAGCCCTGCCTCCAACAACAGGAATCACTTCAACCCACAAACCTTTCCAGATTTGGATCAACATATCCCTATAGCGAACAGGCAATCCTTTTGGGAACCATCTTACATGTGGGGGTACCGTTTTACTAACATTTTAAAAAAAAATCACCCACATAGAAATTCATTTTCCAACACTTATACAGGAGGGAACAGCAGGAACGCCACCTCCTGGAAAGAATGGGCAAAAAAAGCAGGAAAGACATCCCGGTCGCCAGTGTGTATTTAAGAACTGGGCTGGAGGAAAACAAGAACAATAAGAAATCAGAGCAATTTCCACAGACTGAATGAAATCAGTTCCTGTTCCAAGCACACCCAAGACCGACTGATCCGCTTATCCCAAGTGGTTGTTCACAAGCCCCTCAAGAACCACCTCTATGATGGAAAATAGACAAGGAAGTGACACTTGGAGCTTCAGGCAGGATTCATCCCAAAATATTACAGGCACAATTCTGCCTGGGATAGTGCAAGCAAACCACGAACTGACTGGACTCTCTGAGGGACATCATTTCAGTCACACAGAGATGAACCTGCATCCTTTGAGAGAGAAGGTGCATGGCCACTCCTCCCACAGAACACATCCAATTTTTCCTTAGGGAAAAAAAAGATCCCTAGTTGTGATAACAGGCTCCTGTTTGTGACACTGTCACACAGAATTTGTAAGTGACATTCACGAGTTCCATTTATTTTTTTGTTTCCACAGAGCATGATTTGAATGACACCCTCTGCTTCCCCAGCTTGACCGTCAGATCTACAAGGAGAGACCTCAGGTACTAACGGGTTCTTGGACAGGCTTTTCTGCTTCATCCTCATCATCGGCGCTTTTTTCTTCTTCTTCCTTTTCTTCTGCTTTCTCCACCTGAGGTAGAATCCCATCGAGGTTCACTTGCAAACCTTCACTGGTTGAAGATCTGATCACCAACCTCTGCACAATGGGATCTGGAAAACAAACACCCCCCGTGTGGTCACTCTGCCCCTTCCCGTGGCTCCAGGCTGCCTCACCTCAGTACTAATCCCCGCTGTGTCCAGAACAAGGCACATCCCTTCAGCCCACGGTTTCCCATCCTCCCTGGCAGGTACCTGCTATTACCTATGCAAAGCCTGACAGGAACTAATCAAGTTACCAATAACTAATTGTTCTAAATGACTGATAGTAAAGCGTACCTAGATTCCATATTTCAAGTCAACCAACCCTTTATGCTTTTTATTTGGACTGCCCAAGGCATGGTCTGGTCTCTGTACAGCAGTTACTATTAATAGCACCACTGGGAGAGATGCAAGATGATTCTTTTGGCAGACAAGAGGCAAGTTTTAGTATAAAAAGTTGTCTTCCTTGCTCACACAAGGCTATTCTTCCCTAAAATTATGCTCATGAATCACCACTTCCTCTCCAGCTAAGCAGATGCCCCAGAAATTTTAGAAACATCATGAGAATGGAAAGGACACTTAATGACAGTGATTTAAAACCACTCAATTCTTAGTTTTGTTTGCTGTAACTTGAACTCCCACATTAGAACAACAGCTCCTTACCATAGGGTGGTGGCTTGAAGGTGCAGATATCGTGGATAATCGTCTTTAGATTGGCAATTATGTGCTCCGTAGGCATATCCAGCTGGAAAAGGACAATGCCAAGTTAAACGTGGTGATACTTGCAGCCTGGATGAATAAATCTGGGTATTTATTTCTCCTACATTTGGGTAGATTATCCTTTTCCATGTTCTCTGTTAGGGAGTTAAAAATCTCACCAGCAGCCCCACAATGCTGACAGGCAACGCTCAGAGGGTTTCAAGTATTTCATAACAGCTCCCCCACCCAAATAAATATCCCAGCTTCCAAACAAGCATTCCACACTAAATCCTGGTGTGCACACAGTCAACTATCTCCCTGTTTAAAGTCTGCAACAATTCTCTTGGGATCAGGTGTTTTGTACCCTTCCTTCCTGTGCCACCACCAGTTAGAGGAAAACTTAGTATCAGGCAGGATTGAAAAGAGACAAACCAGAAGAAAAAAAGAAAAAACACATAGTTTGGGGCACAGAAAATAAATAAATTAGCAGAAATTAATGTTATAGTTCAGGTGTAATGCAGTTCTTTCTGCTCCAGTCCAGAACTACAGTTATCAAAATTAAAAGTCTTTAATTATTTTGGGTAAAGCAAAGACCTTTTGATCCTTCTCTCCATGTTGACCATGGACTTACAAACACATAGTTTATTCACTTAAAAAAAAAAGAAAAGGGTTAAAACCAGCTGAAAATGCTGCACAACGAAGAGTTCCACTTCCTTCACAGGTCAGCTAAAGAACATGGCTAAAAATCTTGGGCAACAGATTGAAGACAGCTTTTTTTCCCCTTCTTTAAATACTAACTTGAGTTCTGCTCAGGAGAGAAAACTCTCCATTCAACTTACCCTGGCTATCCTTGTCTCGATTATATGCTCGTCTCGCACGGCGTACTCGTGACATTCTCTGAAGAGCTGCACCATTTTGGGGATATCAGTGCCCAGGGAATCTATTAAAAAAAAAAAAAAAAGGAAAAAATATGCAAAAAGAGTTATCTGAGTGATGTTTATTAGCACATATAAGTGTGGTATTAATAAAGTGGTAATTACTTAAGGCGGTTGAACTCCACTCTGAAATGCAATTTCACAAACAAGACAATGGTGTCCTCATAAGTATCAGAGAAATAGTTTCCATCTTTCCTCCTTCCTCATTCATCAGGATTAATTAAGGGCACCTAGTAGGCAAATTTCTCTTGGTTCTAATCCCAGATTTGCCTGCTGTAGGAGAAAAGTACAAATCTGGATTCCTAAAATTCCCTTTACCCAAGACAGAACAAGTGGTGCAGTCAAATACAGTCTAATACTCAATGCAATTACACATCCTTGCCAAAAAATCCTTTCAGTGGCACCTCCAGAGTTAAATCCTCTTCAGCAACTGAGAGCTGCAAGAAAAAAATCACTTCTTACTTCTTCTGGTGCTCGGGAATTTCCGTTTCAGTTTGTTCCTCAGTGGTATTAGCTTGGATATTATGGCAGGAACAGCCACGTAGAAATCTGCTTGGATTTCATCCTCCAAGATCTGCACCCAAAACAATTTATTTATATTTAGCACACAAGTGGACCTACAAAGCTGTCTGAGCACACAAACCCAGCCCTCACTCTTCACACTGGCAAGCTGGAGTTTATGGACATCAGGTTTCTTCCCCTCCCCAGGCCCAAATACTGTTTAAATTAGGCTGTATATATAATTCTCAATAAAATTAAAAATAAAAATAAAAATGCATACCCATTTGACTAATTCAAGTCCCCCCACGATATCAGCTCCACTCTCCCGAGCTATTTCAGCTTCTTGCTCATTCTGGTGAGAGAAAAAAATAGCTATAAACAGCTGTACTACCAACTAGTCTGTACCAAAAAGGCTGTACAGTTCTGTAAAAACTTAGCACTGAGCTTTTGCTCCAAGACAAAAATCACCTCTTTTGGACCACCCCATACAGAGATATGGAAGTCTGTTCTGCTAGAACGATTAAGTGGCAAAGGACAGCTGCAAGAGTTTTCTGGACACACAAAACACGTGCAAATAAGGTTGATCCGGGCTCACCCACCTCTGTGAAAACCAAGACCTTATTCACTTCATCTGTGAAGCGATGGGGAAGGACGACGGCGCCCGAGAAAGGATCCAGCTTTTTCTAGGAAGGGAATCAAAGAGACAGTAAGAAAACCAAAGAGAAATCACGACTCAAGGGCCAGTTACAAATCCAAACGAGGCGAAGAAGTGAGACAGTGACCCCAGAACACAGCACGCCCAGGCGTGTTGGCAAAACCACGGAAGCTCCAAGTCTGGAGCAGATTTAAACCCTCGGAAGAAGTGCCAGGGTTCCTACACCCTTCCAGACCTAACCTTCTTCAGGGCCATATCCAGGAACACGTTGATATAGACAAACTGCCCGGGGTAAGTGAAGTCCAGCTGCTGGAATTTCTTCAGCATGCCCACGGCCTGCTCCAGGTCGTAGAAGGGGCGCCGGTAGAGCCACGTCAGGTACACGTCGTCCACGGGCTTGGTCATCAGCGGCCGCCTCCGGGGGGAGGGCTTGTCCTTGGCTTTCTCCTGCTTGGTCCTCTGAGCACCTTTTTTGGACTGCCTAAGACAAAAAAAACAACGAAAAAATAAACCCACAAGCCATTGTTGGGTCATCAGCTGCAGAGTCTGGCTTATGAAGAACATGGTGTGTCATCTTGTTAAGGACCTGTCACTGCACCAAAGCACAACCTGGGTAAGGGGAACACACCCATGGGTCTGGCCTTCACCTGCACTGGCCTAAACTGGGAAAATCCAACAGAGAAGGTAAAACTGCAAGGTTTCTCTCTTCTTGTTGTAGCAGCCTCACACCTTATAAAAAAGGTTTGTCCTCCCTTCCCTGCAGCATTTTGTGTGCAGTTAAACACCAGCCCCAATTTTCACTCTCCTCTCTGTTTCCAGAGGGTCTCAAGGGAAGCAAAAAAAAAAAAAAAAGTTCTCCCAGTCATGCTGTATTATTGAAAAAACAACAAATTAAACACTAAAAAGCCAACTGAAGACGAGAAAGTGTTTGAAACCGAGCCCACGAGCTCAGCAGCCTTCATGCTGTAAACCCTGCCACAGCCCCCAAAAACACATCTCAAAAACACCTGCTCAGTCTTTCCCCGTAACCGCGACACTCTTTGTGACAAGAGTAATAGCAAACACTCCCTGCGAGCCCAGGCTGTTCTCTGGGAGCATGTGAGACGCCACCCAGCCCACTGGGCTGTTGGAGCAACACTGCAGACACCAAACACTCCCCACACATCCCCCTACCGCCACCCCCGCGGCCGAGGGAGCCTCCCGGGATGCCGGACCCACACTCACTTGGCTGCCGCCGCGAAGGACCGGGCGGTCTCGCCGCTCACCGCGGCGGGGGCGGCGAGGCGCTGCTCCAGCCCGGCGCGGGCCCACCCGTGCCGCGGGGCCAGTGCTGCGGGTGAAGAGCGAACATCGCCTCAGAAGGGCGCCACGGCCTCTCGCTACGCCCGCCCCGCCCGAGCAGGCCCTCCCCGGCCCCCAGGGCCGACCCGGGGCGGCGGGCAGAGGCGGAGAGACGGTGGCGCCCGCAGCTCCCTCAGCCCAACCCCGTCACCTCTCCACAGGCAGCGGGCGCTGGGCGCCGCCATCTTGCCGAGCAGCCGCGGTGCAACGCCCAAAGCGATCCCCACGGAAGTCGCTCCCCGAGACCGAGGAGAAACGTTCCGGCGGCCCGCAGGCCCGGGTGGTGTTCCCTTTACCGCTGTCCCCCGCCCACCGTGCCCTGGGCCTGGCGTTCCGCGGGTGAGCTTTTCCCCCCTCCCGGCGTGTGCCCACTGCCCGGGGAGGGGTAACCCTTTGCCGGGGTCTGGTTAAAAGCCTCCAGTTCGCTTCTTAAACGGCCTGAAAGGGGTCTTGGGGCAACCTCGGGGTTGTATCATAGCGCTGCCACCAAAACTGGTCTTCCCGCCCCCGAAGCAACATGGCGGCGGCTCCTGAGGGCAGCCAGAGCCGCTGACATGGGCGCGTTCCCACCTGTTCCACCACGTCTGCTCGGGCGAACACTGTCTAATTAACGCGAGCATTATCTAGTTAACGCTTAATAGTGTGAGCTCCGAGCCCCGTGTAATTCCAGAATGGTATTTTCTGCTTGCCATCGCTCCTGTTCCCTTGCGAATGGACTGGGAAAAGAGCTGCCTGATCCACAATGCTCCACTAGTGAAGCAGCATCCACCTACAAGGACTTTGTTTAACTGTCTCTTAAGCTTATCAGATACATACCACAAACTATAATGCTTAAAGGAGGGGCCTTTATTCCACATTCCTGATGTGGTTTTTTGACTACAAACATCCTGATCCTAATCAATCCGTGTCCAAGAATTTTTAAAGCAGACACGTGTGGCTGTGTAAAATGAGTCAACAAAACCGATCCATGTTTCTCCAATGTAACTCTATGCTCAGCATCCTGGAAAAGGATGGAGATGGGGAATTCTGAGGATGACAGGAGGAAAAGGTACCCGCCTCAGTGAGGAGTGACAGCGTGAGTTTAAAACACACGGTGGGGAATGGAATTATTTCGGATGGGCATTAGGACTCCCTAATGTTTGACTCCCACAGTGGTGGAAGATGTAACAGGAGACTGTTTAATGTGCAGGTAATGACCTGAATCTTTCACAGTCTTAACTCCATGACTGGAATCCCCTTGCAAGCCTTTGGCTTGTTAGACACAAAGTCTCTGCTGTGGATCGTGGATTTTGGGAGAGAAGCATGGGCTCATGGTCACCATGCACCCATTCCCAATTACGCACTTGCTCCAAAGCCCATTTCCTACCAATAGAGGCACTTCCCGCTCTCCAGGCATTCTTGAGTTTTTTGAGTCCAGCACGAGCCCAGGCAGCTGCTGCAGAAAGGAAATTCCAATAAAAAGTCCTCAGGTCTGATCTCTTGGCACCTCTGTGCCCCCCCCCCCAGCCACCTGATGCTCCCTCAGACATCTCCCTCCATATCCCTGATGCTCCCTCAGACATCTTCCTCCATATCCCTGATGCTTTTCTTTTCCACCATTGCTTTCCCACCTGGGTACACACAGACCCACATCCCTCCCCGTGTCGGGATGCTGCTTTTATTTTATTTTCCAATCCACGTTTCCCTCACGTCCATCCCAAAGGGCTGCCGGTATGGCCGGGAGACGACGGGACGGCATTTACCTGCTCTTCCCTGCTCCAGCTGCCCTCAGGACTCACAAGGGGCCGTGCCACTGAAATCTGGGCGCCAAAACCACGTTTCCCAGCAGAGGAGCTGCCGCCTGCGGAGAAACAAAGGTGTCTGGCACCGAGGAGGAGATGTCCAATCCCCTCAGCAAGGTGGACTCTTCCCTCTCGCAGCGTCGGCGGCGAGCGGCCCGCGAAGCCAAGGCGCGTCCGCTTGGGCGCCGCAGCCCGGTGACAGCTGTGGCAGCGGGGGGGTAAAGCCGAGGGGTGAAGCCGGGGAAGGGGCCTCCCCGATCTCCCGCGGGGTGGCAGGGCCCGGCCGTGCGGGCTGACACGGCCCCGCGAGTGCCCGCCATCCCCCCCGCCGCGTCCCCGGCACCGCCCGCCGCCTCCCCGCGCCCGCCCCCGTCTCCTCCGCCCTCTGCTCCCCGGCTGCCGCCGCTCCTCCTTCTCCTCCTCCTCCTGCTCGCCGCCGCCGCCGCCGCCGCCCGGGCCCCGCGGCTCCGTCCCCGCCGCCCGCGGGCCGCCGCCCGCATGTCGTGGGTGCCCGCCCGCCGCCCCGCCGGCTCCGCCGCCCCGCCGCGCCGCATGCAGGTGAGCGGGGGAGCGGGAACGGCCCCGCCGCCATGTCGGGCCCCGCCGGCGGCACCGCGTGAGGGGGGAGCGGGCACGGCCCCGCGGGGGGAGCGGGATCGGCCCCGCGGCGCGGCCCCGGAGGCCGCGGTCGGCGCTGCAGCCGAGCCCCGGGCGGCCGGCGGGGATGCCGTGGGGCTGGCGGGGGGCGGCCGTGTGGGGAGCCGAGGCCGGGGGGGCGAGTCCCGGCCCTGGGGTGAAGCTCAGCCAGCGGACCGGTCCCGGCCGTGAGGCAGATCCCGACCGGGGCACGGATCCCGGGCACGGGACAGATCCTGGCCATGGGGTGAACCCTGGCCGAGGGGTGAATGCCGGACGTGGGGTAAATCCCGGCCGTGAGGCGAATCCCGCCCGAGGGGGAAATCCCGGCCACGAGGTGAAGCTCGGCCATGGGGCACATCCTGGCCATGGAGCAAATCCTGGCCATGGGATAAATCCCAGTCGTGGGACTAATCCCAGCCGTGGGGTGAATCCCAGCCATGGAGCAAATCTTGGCCGTGGGACAGATTCCAGCCGTGGGGTAAATCCCAGTCGTGGGGCAGATCCTGGCTGTGGGGTAAATTCCAGTCGTGAGGTGAATCCCAGCCGTGGCGTGAATCGTGACTGTGGGGTGAACTTCGATCACGGGACAAATCCTGGCCATGGAGTGAATCCCGACCATGGGGTGAAGCTCGGCTGTGGGACAAGCACTTGGCCCTAATTACCTCTGTGCCAGCCCACGTCCCACAATAGAACCTTCGCCTGGCACCGTGGGTGACCCTCCAGCAGGTTGGTGGAGGTGTCTTCTGGCAAAGGATGTTTTTGAGGTGAGGGTATGTTTGTGGTGAGGGTGTTTTTGGGGAGACACTGGTCTCACCGCCTTTTCCTAGTGATCTCCCTGTGGTCCAGTCCTGTGGAAGGAGGATGACAGCAACGTCACCTGCAATAAAACCTGTGCTGCCAGCCCAGGCCACGGTGCTTGCAAATAGTAGAATGCACCTAAACCCCGAGTTTTTGTCCCAGTTTGGGACTTGGTTTTTAAACTGAAGTGCTGGTGGTAAACATGGCCGAGGGCTCGGTTGCTCCCAGCCACACACCAGCTTTTGTCTGACCTCCTGGAAATCTTTAGACCAGTGGCTTTAATCGGGCCATGTTGGAAACTTTGAATAGGCTGAGTATTTGTTTTGGGGAGGTGCAGCTTCTCAGGAGCTGGCCTGCTGATAAAGATTCTAGGTGGCCTTGGTTAAGCGGGGAATTTCCTACAGTTAAATTCATACCTGTGCCCTCCCCTCTCTGTGACACTTCCCCACCACCCAAAAATAACCTGGGGGGTAAGAACACCCCACCCTGAAGTCACTCACGGTGTGCAGGCATGACCGATGATGAAGGTGATGATTGTGTGTTTATCTTTAAAAAGAAAAAAAAAGGTACATTATTTCTAACAACAGCGTGCCACAACCCAAGGAATTCCTAGAAGCTGTGTCCCGGTTTGGAGGGCCAGAAAGCTCTGAGAAAGGTAGAGCACGGCCTCTACAAACGCGGGACTGCCAGTGACTTTACTTCTGTGTTCTCCCTATGGAAAACAGGGAAATTTGTGCTGCCAAACATCCCTCTCCCACACGCTGGCAGTGCCTCACACAAGATCCAGGCTGGCTGGAGGACGGTTGAGGTTTGCTTTGCGGCGCGTGTGAGTGCCGCAGCCTGACCCAACTTCCTGGACGTAGCCCTTCTCCATGGCTTTCCTTCCCCTCCCACAGGGTGGTGGGAGGTTATTTGGAGCTTGATTTTATAATTTCTCTCCGGAGCAGATGGGCAGTGTGCATTTCTGACATCTCGCTGCTCCGTGCTCTGGAATAATGATCCGCAGTATCCTGTGGACTCACCCAGACAGAACTTCTGCTTGAGCACCAACTCGGGCGTTAAATCTCCTCCGGGGATTTTTGAAGACGCCAAAAGTCCTGTTACAGTTCAGCTCTTGGGTTTCACGGAGCAGTGGGAATTCTGCAGTGCTCTGCTGTCTGCTAAACAAATCCCGTTAAACACTTTCAGTTTTGTTCCCTTCTTACTATTAAAAGTGAGGGCGGGCTGCTCTGAGTGCTGAAGTACGGCACAATTTAATTTATTCCCTTTTATCTTCCCTTGCTACGGGGGCTCTTCCTCACTTAGTTTGTGTATTTAATTGAGGGCTAAAGTGCAGTGTAAACGGCTCACAGGTATTGCCGTGTTCCTGTGTGAAGTCCAGTTTTCTTCTGTGCTTGGAAGCAAGAGATTCATGTGCCGGGGGTAAGACAGGCTCCCCATCATCAGACTGTTGGAAAAACACAGGACTTTGCAGATCCGTTTTAGTGGCTCCCGAGTTTCCCCCCAGGTTTGTATGGCAAACTTCTGCTGGCACAGCTCTGTCTGCGCGCGCGGTGCCGGAGTGTGACCCGTGACCGACAGAGCTGTGCCAGCAGAAGTCCCAGCTGCAGGAGCAGTTTATCTGCAGAAGTGCACTTTTACTGATAGAGCTTGTTTTCGTCTTCTAAAGGCTGTTTTTCCCTGTCTGCCAGTAGAGCCCCGTGTTTCCAGGGATGTAGCGTGCTCAGGTATTTATGTGCCTGGCTCGGAAGGGAAGGCACGGCTGCTCCGGGTGTGCTTGCTGTGTGTGGCTCTCCTCTTCCTGTCCAGAATCTGTAGGAGCTCCATCAGTTTGCAGTGGGAATTCTCTTGTGGAAGTAAGTGATGGTATGGCTGCTTGTTTTCTTTTGGTCCAGAGGTGTTGGTAAAACTTCCATCTTCATGTTAAGACTGGGATTACTTTTCCTTCTATGTGGACTGGGGCTGTTTTCCATTAATACCCT